CAAACATTTTGGTTCAAAAAGAAGAGTGACTGTCAAATACAATGCTAAAACAAGTAATTGCTTCTAGCTTGATTTTGTAACTTTAACAGCCTAACCAGACTTTCTCCATTTGGTTAGGCTTGCTGTTTGTTTGCGTTAGTGAATGCACCTGTATGGACTTCCAGCTAAAAGGGTGTATAGCACTGAGCTGTTCTCCTAAAAGAACTTAAAAAGAATTACATTCAAATGAAAACTTATCTTAATTTTAGAAAAGTAAAACTTTTATTCTCCTTGAGCACAGGTGGTGCACGCTCTCTATCCGTCTTTGATAATGATATTGGAAGCGGCTCTATTTCACCATTAATCGTCACAGGAGGGAAAAATGGTGATGTTGGGGTTCATGACTTTCGTTTCATTGCAACTGGGAAGACCAAGCGTAATAAAAATTCTAGTCAACAGGACTTAAAATCTGGTGCCACTCATGATAATGGGATGCTCTGGTATATACCAAGGGCTCATTTAGGTAAATGCTGTGTAACTTTTCACATGCCGTATTTTCTGAACTAGGTGATTGCCACTAATTCGATTTCTCTTTGCTGGGAATCAAAGGAAGTATTACCAAGGTAGCAACCATCCCAGATACAAGCCTGTTCTTAACTGGCAGCAAAGATGGCGATGTGAAGCTTTGGGATGCGAAAAGATGTCAATTAGTTTTCCGTTGGCAGAAGATGCATGATAGACACACTTTTCTTCAGCCAAACTCTAGAAGCATTGGTGGAGTTGTCAGGGTAAAAATTTAAAAATAAATAAATAAAAATAAAAAATCTTGGCAACACTATTACAAAACTGTGTTTCAACAATTAGCTCTTATTTGTTCTAATTTCGTCTCTGCTCAATAATGCACCTGTTGCAGGCTGCTGTCACCGATATCCAGGTGTTTTCTCATGGTTTTCTCACATGCGGTGGTGATGGTTCTGTGAAGCTTGTAAAGCTGAAATGACTACTAAAAATTTACGAGGAGTAAATTTCTGTAGGGGAGCTGCTTCAAAAATTTACGAGGAGTAAATTTCTGTAGGGGAGCTTCTTCTGATTTCATTTGGTTCAGTTTTGACGCCTCAGACTTAAATTGCAGAGATACTAGATTTATTGAGTGCCTATTTGCCACGAGTCTATAATAGTGCACCTCTGTGTGCTGAGGAGCTAGTTTTGACCGCATCATGTAAAGTAGTAAGCTACACCGAAGAAAGGGTATAAATAAGAGATGCAAATTTCTACTGTTATCATGTATATTTTGTAGTCCTTTTTCACTTGCATTCATAGCCCCAGGCCCAAATTTCTTGTAGATTTTCTCCGTCTATGTTATATGTATGCGTACATTATTCATTACATCATTCTTTACATGGAAATTGTATATACACTTTTTAAGCTTTCTGCTTCTCAATTTATATAAATGTATATATACAAATGATGACTTTGAAACATATCTATACCAAGGTACGATGACTAAGATATCCAGCCTTTTCTTTTTCTTGTCTTTTTTCTTTTTCTTTTTCTTTTTCTTTTCTTTTTCCTGTATTCTCAAGTTAGCAGGTTAGCCGAACAAAATTGGGCTCTTTTTTGTACTAGCTGCGAATCTTGTGATGCGTGGATGATGTTCAGCTGTGGTTCACAATGGGTAGAAATGCAAGTTTCCCTCTATTTGCTTCTGCGGAGCTTCATCATCTTGATCGAACCCTTTGATGTTTATGCCCAAATCATGATGTTAGTGAAATTTTAAAGTCATTATTTATGGAAAGATAACATAAATTTTGGTTAGTAATAATCATGTGTTTTAGGATAGTACTTTTGCTTAAGGTAGCTTTATGCTGATTAGTGAATAACCCACATGCAGATGAAATGTGTTGCCTCTTCATGAGTTTCCCACTTTTGATCCTGTTCTCCATCGTGCTTTTATTGATTAAGGTAAGCATACATGTTTCTTTGATATTTTTCTCATCATCTATCTAATATCGAACAATTTTTCACTGTAGACCTAAACCGATTTTTTATTATCAAAATCGACCGAATTTTTTTTTAATTACCAAAATCGACCCGTTTTATGCCACGTAGGCTTAAACCCATTTCCTAATTAGTCGGGGTTGCCAACCCCGACTATTTAGGAGTTGTTAAACACCAATTAGAAGCCTTAAACCTGATTTAATTGGGATTTAACAATTCCTAAACAGTCGGGGTTGGCAACCCCGACTAATTAGGAAATGAGATTAAGCCTACGTGGCATAAAACGGGTCGATTTTGATAATTAAAAAAAAATTGAGTCGGTTTTGGTAATAAAAACTCAGATCGGGTCTACAGTGAAAAATTGTTCATCTAATATCTAATCATTCTCCCTTTAAAAAAGTGAGTACTAGAAAAACTTTTATTTCCCAAAAATACCCTTCATCTTTTATGAAATTAACCAATTTACTCTATTATCATAACACACAATCTTATTAAATCACATTAATTAAAGGTTTATATTATAGTATAAATATTCTTTATATTATTAAATAAATTAAATCTAATATAATAATTAAATCAGTTATCATAATAGTATTAGATTATCAAGCGTGTGATGTTTTAATATATTGTAGGAATTATTATTTATGTAATAATGCAACTCCAATTAGATTATAATAGTACAAATTTATATTAAACATTAGATTTTTAATAGTATAAGATTATAATTAAACATTAATTTTTTTAGTGCTTATCAACTACAAATAACGTTTATATTTCATCTAGAGTGGTTTTAAATAAAAATTGAAATAATTAATTATGTAACTCTAATTAAATTAATAAATTAATCATTATCTAATCGGCTTGTTAACAATAGCTTGGTGTTTATGTGCGCATATGTAAAGACATAGATGAAACGTTTTATTCAAACTTCAATAGTTTATAGTGTCTGAGAGACACAAACCAAGATAGAAAATAGTTCATACTTCTGTAATTCTACCTTAAGTAGTCCCCACAAACTTAGATTTTCTAATGAATGAAAATTTGATGTCCTTCTAATGGAAACATTTCATTAAAAAAATTTAGTAGTTTGGAAAGCTTCTTTTTGTGTATTAACACCTTTGACAAGTGAGCTCCTTTTGATACCTTCAACAAATTATCACGAACACCTCCAACTTCTAGCTGTTTCATCACACTCTCTATATAGTCTCATTCCCAGGTCCCCCCTCTACCACTCTTCACATAATAAATACTAGGTTAAATCAAATGATTAAAGTATCCAAGTTCTACTTTTTCCCCCTCTGCTACTCTTCTTTGCTCTGCCAATGCAAGGAAATTAAAGGAAGACGGATAGTTTGAATAGTAAAAGATTTTGCTTCTGCCATTGAGGCAAGCTCGGTATTAGCGGTGAGGTGAATTTGATGAAGGTGGTTGCAGTGAGCTTAGCAATTTCGATAGTATGGCCCGGAGACGATGTCAGAGGATGTGGAGAAGCTAGGTTCGATGGGCAATTGTGGTTGATTCGATGAATATGATGGGTCTGACAAAGGAAGTAGTGGCAAATATTCGATCGAGGAAGGGGATGTGGATTTGGAGGTGGTGGTGAAGCTTTCGGTGGAGAAGGAGGGTGTTGGAGGAGCTCGTCATGAAGTTGGGACATGAGTTCTATCCATTCACATTTTTTAGTACTTCTGTGCATGGATAAATGCATTTATATTATCTAAATTGAAGTTTCGGTGTAGTGTGGTGTGTGTTGTCATAATTGGAGAAACTCATTTCTTATTCACTTCTCTTTGTTTCTTTTTCATCTTATATAGGAAAAAAATAAGATTAACATACTTTTTTTTTTCATATACAGTGGGATGACTATGCGCGCAACTTTATTTGGGGATTTGGCTACAAATGAAGGATCAATTTTTGAAGCTGAAATCAAAGATAAGTCAGTAATAGCATTATCAAATTTTAAATCTCTATATATAAAGGTACATAATTTATTATTGAAATTATTATTAAAGACAAATAAACATAAAATTCATTCAATAATTATCTCAATTTTGCAGGGGAGACAAGCATATCGTTACAAATTATATCAATAATATGTATCAACCATAAAATACAACTAGCTAAAAATTAAGGGAATGGTAAGTAGAACAAGCATACTTTCATATAACGCAATAATAAAATAGTATTATATTTTAATCTAATGTGCAGGTTTCATTTGGAAGAAGCCACAAAATCAAAAGGATCTCCATCAACGGTTTTTATAAATTCAAAAGAAATTCAAATTAGTGATATTATACTTACATCATAGAATTCGATACATGTACAATATTAGAAACCTATTCTTATTAACATATTTAAATCTAACTAAATTTTGTCAATATACAGACACGCTATTGCACATTTAAGGTAAAGATAACTACTATTTTGAATAGTCTCGAGCCATGGTTTAATGCTTGCAAAGACTACAACAAGAAGGTAGATAAAGATGTCAGTAAAGAGTGCACGAATGATAAATGCCGCTGAATCATTAATGACTCAGTACCAATGTTAAGTAATATATATATTTTTATGGCATGAACATATTAAAATACAATATTAACTATCTCTAGAAATCGACAATGAAAACTACAGGTACATAGTTAAGATTCTCGTGGAAAATAACACGTATATTGCAAGAGTAACACTGTTTGATGCAACAAAAACTTTTATTAGATGCACAACAAAAAAATTCATTATAGAAAAAAGAGATAATCCTTAACTCTATTCAAGTAATAATTTAGAAAATAAAAAAAAATCCATATATATTAAAATAACAGTTTTCTTATTGAAACAGAAAAATAATCAAAGTTCATATTTTTAGAAATTTGTGTTCAACGTCGAAAAACGTTCAAATTCCTGGTGAAGTTAGATAAAAAACAAAAGATGAACGAGGCGAAGAAAATATAATAGCATAAGAAATCCAACTCCCTTCTGATATTACAATCAACGTAGATGAAGAAGGTGTTACTCTAGAATTGCCCAGGAAAAAGATAAATGTGGAGAAACATTGATCTCGGTTCAATTAAAATATGAAATAAAATAATAAAGGATAATATTTTTTTGATCATTTTATATCATATCTTAATTTTTGAGTAGAATTAGAAATTTTTATAAGGGATTTTCATACAACATTATTAGTAGTTTTGTATGCTTATGTGATTGTTTTCATCACATAAAATTATACTATAGTTACCATTATTATTTAGTTTTCGTCTTTTTATTACTGCTTTTGGACAATTATAGGTGTATTTCCCTGTCTTTTCTGTAATTGGTATGTTTTGTTCTTCAAATTTTATTGTAAATTTCTATATGGGATTGCTCTAATCTTATTGCTTTTGGACATTTACTCTCTAACTGTAAAGTTCTACGATGCACAATTGTTTAAAATCTTTATGTTTCTTCGAGTTCATTCTAAATTTGTTTATATGTTTGCTCTAATTTTACTGCTTTGGGACAATTACTCTCTGGCTGCAATGTTCTGCAATGTGCACTTGATTAAAATCTTCATGTTTCTTTAAGTTTCATTATAAATTTCTTTATGGGTTTGCTCATATCCTTCTACTTTTTAATAATGCGTATTATTGTATAGGTTGATTTTTATTATCTCATGTAAGAAGAGGCATCTCGGAACCATTTCTTGCAATTTATTTTCATATGATTATTATGGTTTAGTAAAATTGTTTATTATAAAACACGAGTTTATAATGTTCCAATGTGTTGTGCAATTTTATTTTTAATGTAATAAGAAATGTGGTTTCTTTTTTTACTAGAACATTAGTTCATAATGATATTGCTATTCATGCTTGACTCCATATTATATCTTGGGATTAGTAGAGTTTGGAATATGACGTAAAGAATTAATTTAACTTCTTTTATTTTACCATTCTACTTGAAGATGTTATTATGTTAATTCATATTTTTTCTTAAGAAAACAATTAAGATGTCCCAGTTAAGCTTATAATATCCAAAAATGTTGTGCAATTCTATTTTCAATGCAATAAGAAATGTGATTTCTTTATTGCTATAACTATAATTCATAATGACAATTACAATATCCCAGTTTGGTACATTCATCCCAAGTAAGCTTAAAAATCAATTACATTGATTTTTAATAATATTTAAATAAAAATAACAGTAAATCTAATAATTTAATTTTACATATTTTAAGATGAATTTGGCTTACTTATAGTAACAAAATAAATATAAAAAATATTTTGATATTTTACCACGTGCATTGCACGTAAACAATATCTAATACTATTATAAAAGTGTGTTGGTATGTTAAAACATTTCTTCCAAAAATGCCCTCCAAAACACATACATGCACATGTAAATATAAAATATAAAATGAAAACATGCAAATATAATCACATCGCATACATACATGATCACATGCATACATTACATAAATAAATTATAACCCTTCAAATTCTTCTCATAATCC